CACCTGTTTTTACTGCCCCCTGGCCACCTGTGTGAAAAAACCCTAAATGTGCCTGTTTGATTTCATTAACCAGAATTCCTGGCTGTCCTCTTTGGTTGTTACAGAGTTTCCAGCTCATAATGTGGAAAGAACAGAAATTTGTTAAGCTATACTTTGATTTAACATTCTATTCGGTTACCGTATGTGTTCCTTGCAGGGGTTATAAACCTCCCAAACTCCAAAATGAAAAAAAAAAAAATTTTTGCTTTTTTTGTTTCATTCATATCATAGTTGCATAGTCTGGCTGAAAAAAACAAAATTCCATCCAGTTCAACCATAAAAAAACCCACAAAAAAAGTTCTAATCCTACACCCACAGTTGATCCAGAGGAAGGCAAAAAAACCCCAGCAAAGCATGATCCAATTTGCTCCTGCAGGGAAAAAATTCCTTCCTGATCCCCCGAGAGGCAATCGGATATTCCCTGGATCAACTTTACCTATAAATGTTATATCCAGTTATATTCTGTGTATCCAAGAAAGAATCCAGGACTTTCCTACAGCAATCCACTGAGCTGGCCACAACCATTGAGGGAGTCTATTTCACATTCTCACAGCTCTTACTGTGAAGAAACCTTTCCGTGTTTGGAGATTACATTTCTTATCCTCCAGATGTAAAGAGCGCCCCCTTGTCCTCTGTGATGACCTCAGGGAGAATAACTCTACACCGAGTTCACTATATAAACCACTGATGTATTTATACATGGAGATCATATCCCCCCTTATGTATTATACATGGATCATATCCCCCCCTTATGTATTATACATGGTGATCATATCCCCCCTAATTTATTATACATGGAGATCATATCCCCCCCCTATGTATTATACATGGAGATCATATCCCCCCCTATGTATTATACATGGAGATCATATTCCCCTTATGTATTATACATGGAGATCATATCCCCCCTCATGTATTATACATGGTGATCATATCCCCCCTTATGTATTATACATGGAGATCATATCCCCCCTTATGTATTATACATGGATCATATCCCCCCCTTATGTATTATACATGGTGATCATATCCCCCCTAATTTATTATACATGGAGATCATATCCCCCCTTATGTATTATACATGGAGATCATATCCCCCCTTATGTATTATACATGGAGATCATATCCCCCTTATGTATTATACATGGAGATCATATCCCCCCTTATGTATTATACATGGAGATCATATCCCCCCTTATGTATTATACATGGAGATCATATCCCCCCTTATGTATTATACATGGAGATCATATCCCCCCTTATGTATTATACATGGAGGTCATATCCCCCCTTATGTATTATACATGGAGATCATATCCCCCTTATGTATTATACATGGAGATCATATCCCCCCCTTATGTATTATAATATTATGTATTATATATGTGATCATATCCCCCTTATGTATTATACATGGAGATCATATACCCCCTTATGTATTATACATAGTGATCATATCCCCCCTTATTTATTATACATGGAGATCATATCCCCCCTTATGTATTATACATGGAGATCATATCCCCCCCTTATGTATTATACATGGACATCATATCCCGCCTTATGTATTATACATGGAGATAATACCCCCCCCTTATGTATTATATATGGTGATCATATCCCCCTTATGTATTATACATGGAGATCATATACCCCCTTATGTATTATACATAGTGATCATATCCCCCCTTATTTATTATACATGGAGATCATATCCCCCCTTATGTATTATACATGGAGATCATATCCCCCCCTTATGTATTATACATGAAGATCATATCCCCCCCTTATGTATTATACATGGAGATCATATCCCCCCTTATGTATTATACATGGAGATCATATCCCCCTTATGTATTATACATGGAGATCATATCCCCCCCTTATGTATTATACATGGAGATCATATCCCCCCTTATGTATTATACATGGAGATCATATCCCCCCTTATGTATTATACATGGAGATCATATCCCCCCCTTATGTATTATACATGGAGATCATATCCCCCCTTATGTATTATACATGGAGATCATATCCCCCCTTATGTATTATACATGGAGATCATATCCCCCCTTATGTATTATACATGGAGATCATATCCCCCCTTATGTATTATACATGGACATCATATCCCGCCTTATGTATTATACATGGAGATCATATCCCCCCCTTATGTATTATACATGGAGATCATATCCCCCCCTTATGTATTATACATGGAGATCATATCCCCCCTTATGTATTATACATGGAGATCATATCCCCCCCTTATGTATTATACATGAAGATCATATCCCCCCTTATGTATTATACATGGAGATCATATCCCCCCTTATGTATTATACATGGAGATCATATCCCCCTTATGTATTATACATGGAGATCATATCCCGCCCCCCCTTATGTATTATATATGGTGATCATATCCCCCTTATGTATTATACATGGAGATCATATACCCCCTTATGTATTATACATGGAGATCATATCCCCCCTTATGTATTATACATGGAGATCATATCCCCCTTATGTATTATACATGGAGATCATATCCCCCCCTTATGTATTATACATGGAGATCATATCCCCCCTTATGTATTATACATGGAGATCATATCCCCCCTTATGTATTATACATGGAGATCATATCCCCCCTTATGTATTATACATGGAGATCATATCCCCCCTTATGTATTATACATGGACATCATATCCCGCCTTATGTATTATACATGGAGATCATATCCCCCCCTTATGTATTATACATGGAGCTCATATCCCCCCCCCTTATGTATTATACATGGTGATCATATCCCCCCTTATGTATTATACATGGACATCATATCCCGCCTTATGTATTATACATGGAGATCATATCCCCCCCTTATGTATTATATACATGGAGCTAATATCCCCCCCCCTTATGTATTATACATGGAGATCATATCCCCCCTTATGTATTATACATGGAGATCATATCCCCCCCTTATGTATTATACATGGAGATCATATCCCCCCTTATGTATTATACATGGAGATCATATCCCCCCTTATGTATTATACATGGAGATCATATCCCCCCTTATGTATTATACATGGAGATCATATCCCCCCTTATGTATTATACATGGACATCATATCCCGCCTTATGTATTATACATGGAGATCATATCCCCCCCTTATGTATTATACATGGAGATCATATCCCCCCCTTATGTATTATACATGGAGATCATATCCCCCCTTATGTATTATACATGGAGATCATATCCCCCCCTTATGTATTATACATGAAGATCATATCCCCCCTTATGTATTATACATGGAGATCATATCCCCCCTTATGTATTATACATGGAGATCATATCCCCCTTATGTATTATACATGGAGATCATATCCCCCCCTTATGTATTATATATGGTGATCATATCCCCCTTATGTATTATACATGGAGATCATATACCCCCTTATGTATTATACATGGAGATCATATACCCCCCTTATGTATTATACATGGAGATCATATCCCCCCTTATGTATTATACATGGAGATCATATCCCCCCCTTATGTATTATACATGGAGATCATATCCCCCCTTATGTATTATACATGGAGATCATATCCCCCCTTATGTATTATACATGGAGATCATATCCCCCCTTATGTATTATATATGGAGATCATATCCCCCCTTATGTATTATACATGGACATCATATCCCGCCTTATGTATTATACATGGAGATCATATCCCCCCCTTATGTATTATACATGGAGCTCATATCCCCCCCCCTTATGTATTATACATGGTGATCATATCCCCCCTTATGTATTATACATGGACATCATATCCCGCCTTATGTATTATACATGGAGATCATATCCCCCCCTTATGTTTTATACATGGAGCTCATATCCCCCCCCCTTATGTATTATACATGGAGATCATATCCCCCCCCCCCCTTATGTATTATACATGGTGATCATATCCCCCCTTATGTATTATACATGTTGATCATATCCCCCCTTAATCTCCTCTTCTCAGTAGAGAATACATTCAGTTCCTCTAATCTTTCCTCATAGCTGATCTCCTCCATGCCTCTTATCAGTTTGGTTGCCCTTCTCTGTACTTTCTCCAGTTCCCCAATGTTCTTTTTGTGAATTGGTGCCCAAAACTGAACTGCATATTCCAGATGAGGTATTACTAATGATTTGTACCGGGGAAATGATATCTCTCTCTCTGGAGTCTATACCTCTTTTAATACAAGAGAGGATTTTGCTCGCATTAGAACCCGCAGCTTGGCATTGCTGCCATTATTAAGCTTGTGATCTACCAGAACCCCCAGATCCTTCTCCACCACTGACCCCCAGATCCTTCACCATTGACCCCCCCAGATTCTTCTCCACCATTGATTCCCCCAGTTGTACCCCCCTAGTATGTATGATGCATGCATATTCTTAGCCCCCAAGTGCAGAACCTTACATTTATCAACATTAAACCTCATTGGCCCCATAGTTGCCCAATTACACAGAGCATTGAGGTCGGATTGTAAGTTGGAGACATCCTGTAAGGACGTTATTCCACGGCACAGCTTGGTGTCATCTGCAAAGACTGAAATGGGATTTATAATCTCAGACCCGATATTGTTTATAAATATATTACAAAGTAAGGGTCCCAACACTGAACCTTGGGGTACACCACTGACACCCCGAGACCATTCAGAGTATGAATCATTAACCACTACTCTCTGAATACCATCTTTTAGCCAGTTTTCTATCCATTTATATACAGATTTTTCCAACCCTGTAGATGTTACCTTACATATTAGCCGTGTGTGGGGAACTGTGTCAGACTTTTTTGCAAAATCCAAGTATACCACGTCCACCGCTACCCCTCTGTCCAAGTATACCACGTCCACTGCCACCCCTCTGTCCAAGTATACAACATCCACTGCCACCCCTCTGTCCAAGTATACCACGTCCACTGCCACCCCTCTGTCCAAGTATACCACATCCACAGCCACCCCTCTGTCCAAGTATACCACATCCACCGCCAATCCTCTGTCCAAGTATACCACATCCACAGCCACCCCTCTGTCCAAGTATACCACATCCACCGCCAATCCTCTGTCCAAGTATACCACGTCCACTGCCACCCCTCTGTCCAAGTATACCACATCCACAGCCACCCCTCTGTCCAAGTATACCACATCCACAGCCACCCCTCTGTCCAAGTATACCACATCCACAGCCACCCCTCTGTCCAAGTATACCACATCCACAGCCACCCCTCTGTCCAAGTATACCACATCCACAGCCACCCCCTCTGTCCAAGTATACCACATCCACCGCCAATCCTCTGTCCAAGTATACCACGTCCACAGCCACCCCTCTGTCCAAGTATACCACATCCACAGCCACCCCTCTGTCCAAGTATACCACGTCCACAGTCACCCCTCTGTCCAAGGTTTTTCTCACCTCCTCATAAGAAATCAAATTTGTTTGACAACTTCTGTCTTTCATGAATCCATGCTGTCTGTTGCTTAAAGTATTTTTTTCCAGCAAGAACTCATCTATGTGGTCTTTTATTAAACTCTCCAGTATCTTCCCAACTATAGACGTTAAACTAACAGGTCTATAATTACTTGGTAAAGCTTTTGACCCCTTTTTTAGATATTGGCCCCACATTGGCCTTACGCCAATCCAGTGGTACTATGCCAATCAGAGTCCCTAAAAATTAGAAACAATGGCTTTGAAATGACAGAGCTCAATTCTTTAAGGACCCATGGGTGTATGCCATCCGGTCCAGGTGCTTTATTCTGTCTAAATAGGTTTGGATCATATCAATTGTGAGCCAATGTGGATCATCTGGAGCTGTGTCAATACCATGCCCACAAAAGTAACATCTATTGCTCTCAGCTCCATTCAAATCTCCTAATTCTTTCCTGTGATCTGACTTCCTGTTAGCGGATGGCTACATTTAGGCTTCATGTACACGGGACACTTCTGAACGATGTAAACTGACTGCTGGAAAACGTAGGTTAAATAACGTCTGTTCAGCCGCATTTGTAAAACACGTTTATGTGCATTTGCGTTTAGAAGCGTTTTTTAAAGATAAGCACAGGAGAACCTCCGAAATGCCCAGAATACACTGAAAAGTGGTAAATTATTAACTATTTCAGACTGTTTCAGAGAAATACAGAGAGTAGAAGCAGAGACAGCAGTATGTGTTGAGATTAGCTTAGGTGTGAGTTGCTCATTAACATTTCTTTTGTTTCCAAGGGTGGGAAAGGTGTCTGGTGGAGGGAGTCACTATGGCCACCTGGCAGGGGGTCGTCATGAGGAATTTGAGGTGTGAATGGTCATTAACATATCTTTTGTTTTCAAGGGTGGGAGAGGTCTGAGGTGTGAATTGGTCATTAACATATATTTTGTTTTCAAGGGTGGGAGAGGTCTGAGATGTGAATTGGTCATTAACATTTCTTTTGTTTCCAAGGGTGGGAAAGGTGTCTGGTGGAGGGAGTCATTATGGCCACCTGGCAGGGGGTCTTCATGAGGCATTTGAGGTATGAATTGTCATTAACATATCTTTTGTTTCCAAGGGTGGGAGAGGTCTGAGATGTGAATTGGTCATTAACATTTCTTTTGTTTCCAAGGGTGGGAAAGGTGTCTGGTGGAGGGAGTCACTATGGCCACCTGGCAGGGGGTCGTCATGAGGAATTTGAGGTGTGAATGGTCATTAACATATCTTTTGTTTCCAAGGGTGGGAGAGGTCTGAGATGTGAATTGGTCATTACAATGTGTGACAAGCTTGATCGGAACATCCTGTGTTCAGTGTTTTGTCCATCTGAGCACCTTGAAAATGCTTTGCATGCATTTTCCATGATGAAAAAAGGCTCTGGACAGCATCAGGAACTGGGAGAGTTAAAAAAAAAAATTTTTCAAACACAAAACGCTTATAAACGCGATTTGTTGCGTTTACAAGCGTTTTGCGTTTGAAACGTCGATAAAATCTACTCCTGAACGCAAGTTTTCTGCATTCAAAAAACGACTGTTAACTCAAATGCCTGTAAACGACTGTAAACGAAGATGTGTACACAGACACATAGGAAAACATTAGGGAGAGTTCAGGGGCTGCTGAAAAAAACGTTGAACAGCTCCTAAATGTGAGTTTATCATCTGCAGTGTACATGAGCCCTTATTCTGCATTGTCCCAATGTTTGTAGGATTCTTACCCTCTCTTGCTCTCTGCTAAGATGAGCTATGGGCTATGCAAGTGTTGTAGTAATGTGAATTTTGTGCGTTTGAAGTGCTATTGATTGTTTTGCTTTTATAGTTTTGTGCAGATTTGCGACGCAAAGATTCAAGTGTTAGTTTTCCAGTAGGTGGCGCTTGAATCCTGCTGTTATGCGGTGTAGCAGAAATCCCATTGTTATAATACTGGGAGGCAGAAGTTTGCTTTGCTGTGTATAATAGACAAGTTTATTATTCCCTCTGATGAGTTTTTTTATGTATTGGTGATCTCTCCGCTGCTCCTATTAATAAATGAAATCTAAAACCAATCGCTGAAATCTCATATAAGCTTTAACATATTAATGTCAGTTCAAACGTTTTCAGTTTGCTGTGTTTATTAATAGAATCCCTGTTGATCCTGCCACGAATGTCTTTAGTTCAGACACTTCCTTTTATTGGATGACAACCAGGGGCGGACTGACAACTCATGGGGTCCCCGGGCAATAGGGGATCATGGGGCCCCTGTGTCCTTGCCCAAACTCAAAAAAGCCTATGCAAAAGGTACCAGGGGCATCTCATGGGGCCCCCTACTGGCCCCAGGCCCTCGGGCAGTGCCCGAGTTTCCAAATGATCAGTCCGCCCCTGATGACAACTGTCTCTCGGTTGTACTCCTGTGTTGTCACCTTACCATATGCCCTGTTGGTGGAGACTACAACTGATTTTGGGTCCACCATTGTCACTGTTGGGAAGCTGTCCTGGATAATGATGTGCACCTGATGCTGGAGGCAGGAAGTAGTTGCAAGAGGCTGCAGGAGATCAGTGGCACTGTGATGAAAAAATAGTTGAAAAGGATTTTTAATTTAAAAAAGGACATTTGTCTATGATGGTATTTCAGCAAACATAAATTTCAGCAATATGTAACTGGCAGCGTTTGCGCATTAGTGCACATTTACACCGCGTGAATGTAAACATAGCACAAACATTACCAGTAACACCAGAAAGCATTCACAAAGCACTATAGGTTTTTGTAAGAGACAGAACAGCAAAAGTACATTGGCCAGATCCATCTGATTCACTTGTATGTGTATTCACTGTGTACCTTCTAAAACAACCAGTTCCATGGCACCATCTGCCTGGAGTTTGCATGTTCTCCCTGTGCCTGTGTGGGTTTCCTCCGGGCTACTCCGGTTTCCTCCCACACTCCAAAGACATGCTGGTAGGTTAATTGTCTCCTGTCTAAATTGTCCCTAGTATGTGTATGTATGAATGTGAGTTAGGGACCTTAGATTGTACACCTAAGAGGTTCCTGGAGGATGAAGGAATTGATACCATTGAATGGCCCCCACGCTCGCCTGATCTAAATCCAATAGAACATCTCTGGGATATCATCCTCCAGGAACTGCCTGCATACTCTCACCACATGAGGCCGGGCATTGTCGTGCACCAGGAGGAACCCAGGACCCACTGCACCAGTGTAGGGACTGACAATGGGTCCAAGGATTTCATCCCGATACCTAATGGCAGTCAGGGTGCCATTGTCTAGCCTGTAGAGGTCTGTGTGTCCCTCCATGGATATGCCCCCCAGAACATCTCTGGAGGAGTTAGACTGCCTGTGCAACCTCTGCAGCTGATCAACTCCACGACCGCATCCTCCCCCTGTCCTGCCCCGACTTGGCTATGACTGCCTACAACAACGCGCTGTCAGCAGCCCTTGACTCACTAGCGCCTTTAACCACGCAACATCAGACCCCGACCGCTCCAGCCCTGGCAGACTGATCACACCAAAACCCTCAAACGACACAGTCGTGCCCTGAAGCGACTATGGCGCAAAACAAAATCCCAACAAGCCTTCACCCACTACAAATCTGCCTTCCACACCTACACCTCCTCCCTCCACGCAGCCAAACAGGCCTACTTCCTGACCCTCATCAAGGCCCTCTCCTCCAACCCTCGCCGACTCTTCTCCACCTTCAACTCTCTACTCTCTCCACCCCCACCTCCACCCAGCACCTCACTCACCGCCCTTGAGATTGCCAATCACTTCAAAAACAAGATTGACACAATTCGCAAGGACATTGCCGCAACTCACACGCCCTCTCAACCCGTCCCCTCTCACACAGCTACCCCCTCATCCCCCCCTCCCCCTCGACATTACCCGCAGGGACTTCGTCACTGCTCAAACTCCCTCCAACCCCGTTCCCCCTCACTCAGCTACCCCCTCATCACCCCTCTCCCACGGCCCCACCACTGCTCTGACCTCCACTTCCACCCCACCCTACATTCCTCATACTGAAGCTCCCCCAACACTCCACACCTTTGACCTTACTACCATCAAGGAAGTCTCCAAGATCCTCTCTGATGCCCGCCTCACCACCTGCCCCCTCGACCCTATCCCCTCACAATTCCTACGACCTCCTTCCCCCTCCATCCTACGCTCCCTCACCCACATCTTTAATCTCTCCCTCTCCTCTGGCACTTTCCCCTCCCCTCTGAAACATGCACACATCACCCCCATACTTAAAAAGCCCTCCCTGGACCCCAATGACCCGAACAACCTCAGACCCATCTCCCTGCTCCCACTTACATCTAAACTCCTCGAGCGCCTCGTCTACACCCGCCTATGCTCTCACCTCAACGACAACAACCTCCTCGATCCCCTACAGTCCGGCTTTCGTCCCCTACACTCCACCGAAACCGCCTTACTCAAACTCTCCAACGACCTTCTAACCGCCAAAGCTAATGGCCACTATTCAGTGCTCCTACTCCTTGACCTCTCTGCGGCCTTCGACACAGTTGACCACCCCCTCCTCCTCAAAATACTCCACTCCCTCGGCCTCAGAGATTCTGCTCTCTCCTGGCTCTCATCCTACCTGTCACAACGCTCTTTCAGCGTTACCTATAATGCTACCACCTCCCCCTCACTCCCCTTCTCTGTTGGGGTCCCTCAAGGCTCCGTCCTCGGGCCCCTTCTCTTCTCCATCTACACCTCCTCCCTTGGCCAACTCATACACTCTCAAGGCTTCAACTACCACCTCTATGCCGACGACACACAAAAATCAATCTCTCAACCCCCCTACCTCACCCCCTCGGTCTCTGCCTGAATCACACACCTACTGAGCGACATATCAGATTGGATGTCACTCCACTTCCTTAAACTGAATCTCTCCAAAACCGAGCTCCTTGTCTTCCCCCCAGCCCGGACACCACCCCCCATTGACTTCTCCATCACATCCAACAACGCCAATATCAAACCCGCCCTGCAGGCCAGAGTACTTGGTGTCATTCTGGACTCCAACCTATCCTTCCAGCCCACAGTCCAATCTTTAACAAACTCGTGCAGACTCCACCTCCGCAACATCGCCAAAATCCGCACGTTGCTAACCCCAGAAACCACTTAACAGCTCATCCACTCCCTCATCATATCACGACTCGACTACTGCAACTCCCTCCTCACTGGCCTGCCTCGCCGCTGGCTATCCCCGCTTCAGTCTATCCTGAATACGGCTGCCAGACTCGTTCACCTTTCCAACCGCTCCATCTCCGCCACCCCCCTCTGCCAATCCCTCCACTGGCTTCCGATTGCGCAACGGATCAAATTCAAAATCCTAACGCTGACGTACAAAGCTGTCCACCATACTGCCCCGAACTACATCACTGACCTAATATCCAAGTACCGCCCAGCACGCACACTCCGCTCCTCACAAGACCTCCTTCTCTCTAGTTCCCTGGTCTCCTCCTCCCATGCCCGCCTCCAGGACTTCTCCATGGTGTCACCCATCCTCTGGAACTCCCTTCCCCAACCCATCAGATTATCACCTACTCTCCTCTCCTTTAGGCGCAGCCTGAAAACCCACCTCTTCAGGGAAGCCTACCCCACCCCCTGCTAACTTGACCGACCTCCTCCACTCTTCCTACCACTCCATCCCCCACAGCTATCTGCTCCTGTACCACCATCCCCTCCCTCCTAGATTGTAAGCTCGAGAGAGCAGGGCCCTCAATCCCCTCATGTTTTGCATTGTATTGGTATTGTTCTGTCACATGTTCTATCCCCCTTTGTAATGTACAGCGCTGAGTGAACTATTGGCGCTTTATAAATACTGTATAATAATAAAAAAATAATAATGTTTCGGTCCATCCAATACCGCCAGACTATCCAGGAGCTCAGTGATTCCCTGGTCCAGGAAATCCCCCCAGAACACCTGCCGTTGTCTCATTAGGAGCATTCTCTGACGTTGTCAGGCATGCATACAAGCACGTGGGGGCCATACAGACTACTGAGGACCATTCTGAATTGCTGCAATGACATTTCAGAAAAATGGACTCGCCTGCTGCATTTTTTTCACTTTTATTTTCGGGGTGTCTTTAAATTCAGTCCTCTGTAGGTCAATCATTTTCATTTCCATCAAACGATGGGGCATCCTTACATTCGTAACACGTTACCCCGTCCAGATCAGTATATCCAGCATGATATTTTTCCCCATTGAGATCTGATGTGTTTTCAAAGTGTTCCTTTCATTTTTTGGAGCAGTGTAGGTACAGAAATTCCTCAGTTTTCTAGATGGCACAACTGCAGTGCATTGGAGTGACTCTGCTGGTTAACCTTTACCACTTATTCTTCTATAAGAGCCAGCGAGATGATCCTCTGACTTTTCTTCAGGTGATATCCCACATTGATGGAGGGAGATGATTCTCTGGATCGTGTAGTTCCTCCTAAGCACTGACTGTTCTCTTATACTTTCCCCTGACAGGTCTGTATACGATGGAGAAGAGCACAGCACGTTCATGGAGAAGCTGGAAGCTCGCATCCGCAACCACGACCGTGAGATTGAGAAGATGTGTAATTTTCACTACCAGGGATTTGTGGACTCCATCACGGAGCTTCTGAAAGTGAGAGGCGAGGCTGAGAAACTGAAGGTAGGTCTTCCCCGGTCTGCTTTTTCCATGTGTGAAGATTACAAAAATGAATTCAGGTATGGATATGTAGACATACATAGTTATATTGGTCCAGCTTGGACCAACTATGTATATACCATATCTTGCTGATGCTTCAGGAAGCTAGAAACCACTCTTCTACTCCAGTGATCTGCACTGGCTTCCAGGTCCTGTGCTGAGCAGGTGGCCACTCAACATGGCACCATTCAGAGAAAGGCAGCAGGTTGGCTGATGCAATACAGCAGTGCCTGCAGGAAACACTAAATCACTAAACAGGATGGAGTACGACTTTTAACTCCTTCAGGGCCAGAGGTTTGATATCTTGATACCCATACCAAATTCAGCAGCTTCCCCAGGCTTAATGATAAAGCAGTGAATGTGATATTCACCAAACATTCAGTGCCTGGTGTGTGTATGCTTTAAATTACAATAATTTATTCACCTACAGTAACCATTTGGTGAATGGTCACATTCACTGCTTTATCAGGAGGCCCCTATGACTAATTAGCCTACCTAAATATTTTTAAATATATAAAAGGGCAGCAAAATCTTCCATTACCTCCATTATCAAAAAATTGAAAGAGAGTCAAGGACACTCTTAGGAGATCTTAACCCAGGTAAATGAAAAACGGTGACTAACCTATATATTTTTTACAGCAATCACTGGACTACAGCCACCACAACTGGTCTAAACTAATGGACCAAGGATTCCCCCGAACTATCTACTGACACTCTTCTAAAAACATTGCTTGTTTGTTCTGGGGTACAATTAGAGCAACAATATATCGCGAAATGATGCTTAGGCTCATCCACCATTATTACATATCTCCACATCGCTCTCACCTTATGGCCTTAAGCTTTTTGTCTTGCTGCCTGAAGTTTGATCATCCAGACTCAGATTTACGCCATGCCCCGGGATCAAATGTTTTTTGCACTCAGTGGTGTGTTATACCAACACTCATTTAGTAAACTACTTACCTCTGAATGGACACTTTTTGGCCTAATTGATATCACAGGTACTAGGAGGATCTCAAGAGGTTTCAAACTAATCCTCACTATTATATCACTTGCAGCACGGAAAACCATCCTCTATAAGTGGATCTATGCGAACCCCCAACTATTTCTTTGTTTATAGCTAAACTATCTGATGTTTTTCGCATGTACTGAGTGGAGGCCTCCTTAAGCAAAGGATAAAAGGTCCAAAATATTTTTGACATTTGGATTCCCTTGTCCAATCCCTATCGGTGGGTACCCAACAGTACATAATTAATGACCCTCCAGATGATTCTGTAACCTCCGCTTAACTGGAAATATCCATTAAAACCTGGTAATTAAAGGATAAGTTTATCTTTTAAAAAAAATAATAAATGTACATTTTTTTTTGCAGGTAAAAAAATGTGCATTTACTGCGGAATGGGTTCTCACCTAAAATAAATAAATATATAGGGCATTAGGCCCCTTTTACAGGACATTCTGGCAGTCTGTATCTTATCAGTGATTGCACAAATCAAAAACCGACTGCAGTGTGTCCCCATGGGTGGCCATATGTAAATGTATGTGCATCCGCCTATATCTGCCTGCATCCGTTCAGGTTTGGTGGGTTGGATGGAAAGAGCTTGCAACCAGGTTTCTTGCTACTGATCAGATGTTGGTGGATATAGACAAATTCATGTCTGCTTTAATTCTTCCAGCATTGAATTCTGCAGCATTGAAGGTCCCAATGAGCACAGTGGCCTCCATCATTTGTAAATGGAAGATATTTGGAACCACCAGGAATGTTCCTGGAGCGGGCCGGCCGGTTAAAATGAGCAATTGAGGGAGAAGGGCCTTAGCCAGGGAGGTAACCAAGCACCCGATGGTCATTCTGAAAGAGCTCCAGCATTTCTCTTTGGAGAGAGGAGAACTTTCCAGAAGAACAACCATCTCTGCAGCACTCCACCAATCAGGCCTGTGTAGGAAAGTGGCCAGACGGAAGCCACTCCTCCGTAAAAGGCAAATGGCAGCCCGCCTGGAGTTTGTCAAAAGGCACCTGAGGGGACTCTCAGACCATGAAAAACAACTCTCTGGTCTGATGAAACAAAGATTGAACTCTTTGGCCTGATTGCAAGCGTCACATCTGGAGGAAACCAGGCACCACTCACCACGTGGCCAATACCATCCCTACAGTGAAGCATGGTGGTGGCAGCGTCATGCTATGGGGATGTTTTTCAGTGTCAAGAACTGGGAGACTAGTCATGATCGAAGGAAAGATGAATGCAGCAATGTACAGGGACATCCTTGATGAAAACCTGTTCCAGAGCGCTCTGGACCTTAGACTGGGGTGACGGTTCATCTTTCAACAGAACAACGACCCTAAGCACACAGCCCACATAACAAAAGGAGTGGCTAAGGGCAACTCTGTGAATGTCCTGGAATGGCCCAGCCAGAGCCCAGACTTGAACCCGATTGAACAGAAAGTGTTGGTTGCTGGTTCTCCAAGAGGGAACACTGTGGTTCCTGATGAACAGAGGGAACTGAGGTATTGGTGACATCAGGTATTGAGAGCTGGCAGCTACATAAAGAGTTGGCTGCTGGCTTTCCAAGAGGGAGCACTCTGGTTCTCGATCAGTGGGGACCTGAGGTATCAGCAATGTCAGGGATTGAGAGCCGGTAGCTGCACAAAGTGTTGACTGCTGCCTCTCAAAGAAGGAACATTTACAAATGCATTGACAGCACGGGGCAGCATGCTGTGGAACGCTTCTGTACAGAACCTCTTGTATACAAGAAGGGGTTAATATAGTGTACAGGCCATAGAATGTGTGGTCTCCAGCTTGCTTATTCATGGTTGTTGCTCACCAGCCATTGACCCGTCTCTTGGTAGACCAAGACAAGATGTTGCCCTCACACTGCAGTCGTGCTCTAGACCTGATTCCGTGAGATGACGCTGTTGGCAGTTTACAGAGAAGCTCATTATCATCAAGCAGCAGCAGCAATTTGGTACAATCCACATCCTTTTCCTCTTTGTCCAGGAATTCTTCCCCCTCAGAGGGGGGACCAAGGAATCTCCTGACCCGTCTGTCTTGTGGTCCACCATCCACATTGCAGCACAGCTATTTCTGCTCTTTGCAGCTGTTTATTTTAGTCCTTGGAGTGTCTATTTGGAGTAGAGTGTAATTGTTGTGTTGATGGATTAAGGCATGTTTGAGTAAAATCAGCTTGTTTACGTATTGTGGTTTGAGAGCTTTCAGCTGATCTTTCTCCTAAATCTTGTGGTTTTTATTTGTGAGGAGCTTTTCATGCAGCTCCAGTGCCCAGGAACAGTGGCTGCTGCCGTGTATACAATCGTCATCCATTTATTTTTTTACAACGTACTGAGGACCTGGAGGACACTATATCCACACACTATATTGCACACTCTGGTTTTACAATCTCCCTTAGATCTACCAGTGATTTATGTAGTTCGAGGACATACCTGAATAGATGGCAATTGAATGGATGATTTAGAAGGTTCTGACACTATTAACTTTGGTTAATCTAAGGAGATTGTACAGTAAGATTTTACCATGAATTTACACCAATGGAGCTTACACTGTAATGGCCACAGTACAGTCATACACTAATGCAGGCCATAGACGGGTCGTCTATCAGCCGAATTTACATCCGCATGAAAAATCGGCCTTTAATCATGCCGTTAGTGGGGCCAGCCCTTCGGCCGTTTTTCGCGGATCTCCTCATTTATTTTTATCGGTCATGCTGGAAAATCCGTGAAAAATGGCCGTTTTTCGTGGACATGGGTGGCAGCATCGGCAACGGGGGCCGACCGATTTTTTCGTTTATCGCCCGAACATTCGGCCAATAAAGGGCCCGTCTATGGCCTACCTAATCTGTATTTCTAAACTTTGGACATGCTCTGCAGTGCTGTACAGAGAACACTGAGCCATTTGAACAGTCCATGGACCAAAGGAGCTTATGCACCAATGTCCCACCACAGTCGCACATTATTATATATTTCTATAGCTCTGACATTTTCTGCAGTGCTATACAAAGAACACTTGAGTCATTCATATCAGTCTCTGCAGCAGAGGAGCTTCCACTCTAATGCCTCCACCACAGACACACGCTATTATACTACGTAGAATACGTTTTTATAGCTCTGACATATGCTGCAGTGGCTGGGAGGGGGGTGCAGTGACATCTGTACAAAGGAGGAGGGCAAGTCCACACACCTCCGCACACAATATCTGAAGAGCCGCACTTATGATACCGCCCTGAACGGGACATCTCTCCCTCAGTTCTCAATCACCAAAAGCTCGCCCCCTTCCAAGCTGATGTATCCATTTCCAGCGCCATTTTGTTGAAGTCTGCCCATATACACAGAGCGGAATTGATCTTCAACAATATGGCACCCAAACCCACAAATATGGGACAAATGTCACTTTTGCTAGAGATGGCAAACTACACTGAATGGATGGGTGACTTGAAGAGGGGGAGTGGGAGAGCCGGGAGGAGAAAAGAAGAGGATAATGCCCGAGCCTGACCTGCACCTGAGCAATGGAGGAGGGGAGGTCAGTGTAACGGTTCCAGCCAGGACAACAAAGTCTAAGGGAGGGGCCACTGTGGTCACCAGAGTCCCCCCTCCACATTACCCCTTTACACCAAAGTCCGCCTTAAAGTGTAAGGGAGAACTATGCAGACCCTGATGTAAAGGGGAACGCTGGGGGGGAACTCTGGTGACCAGAGTCCACCTTACATCAGACTTCCCTCTTACATCATGGTCTTCAGCTTTCCCCTTTACATCAGAGTTCCCCTTTTACATCAGGGTCTGCAGAGTTCTCCCTTACACTGTAAGGGTGAACCCTGCGAACTCTGATTTAAAGGGGAACTCTGTGGACTCTGATGTAAGGGGCTTCATGTTTGCTTGTCCAGAACAAGAAAACTATAGTTGTTAGGTTTTATTAGCGTGCTGCTAGCTTTCTTCATTTTGGATTTACTGATCTTCGGGTCATAGCATGAGCCCCTGCTTGACTGTGACACCGATCAGCTAAGGGAGTAATCCGATGTTAAGAGTTTGGGAGCGACGTATACTTGTTTATAAATTGTGCGGTTTTCTGATTTTTGAGTTGTTTTTAGGTGTTGTGAATATCCCTATCGCTTCAGTTGTTTTTTTTTTTCTTTTTCAGAATCAAGTAACAGACACTAACGGAAGACTGCAGGTGGATGGAGCCGAGGTAATCTCACTCTTCTGTTGGCTGTAGTCATTGGACAGGGCACTGCAGGGTTGATATATTTTGTTATGTGAATCATGCAGTTCAGGACACAGGCAATGTATTCATGCACCATGGGTTATAGGCTTGTACGTTCAGGTGATTGGTCAATGGCAAGCTTTGAGGTCTTACCTTCCCTATATCTCAAATCCACTCTTTCTTGATCATGTTTGTTGCTGTATTCTGGGCCTCTGTTGCCCAGCTGTCTAAGGCCATCATCCGGTCTTCTATTCGTACTTTTTTAGATTTCCAATCCTCTGTTGATGCAGCTTCCATCCACAAGGTTCTTGCAGCAGTGCTCCAAACCGCGATCTCTAAAGTGCTTCTAAAATTTTAAGGTGTTTTACCGTAGCTTCCCTGGTGGTATTCCTGAGTGTAGCTCGGGGTAAAGTTTCATTACCACAAGCGGTAACCCTGAGCTACACTTGGGAAAAACACTGCAGCATTGCTCCGGGATCTCTTCTTCTCTTACCTTGTCTTGCGCTCCCGCGATGTCCCTCCTGCAGTGTCCCCTGTAATGTCCTCCGGCTTCCGTGTTCCATTCCCTGCGAGCGTCGGGACGTACGGGGGACGGGACGGCAGGAAATTTGAAAATGACAAAAAGTGACATTCGCGAAATTCATTAAAATCACATAGTATTCCATTCCTGTATCAAACCATTTCACATACATTTTGTCCCGAGTGCTTTGTCCGGCGCCCTGCCTGCATTTTTACTGTTCTTTCTGCCTGGAAACTGAGAAACGTCCATGGCGTCCAAAAAGCGTCCCTTTAGGTCAAAAGCGGTTTTAGACCGGCTAGAGAACAGCGATAGTAAATCAGAACCACTTGCAGAATTGAGTGATAATGATTGGTGGGGGAAATTCCTCATCAGACACTGAAAACGATTTTGCGACTTTGCTCAGCGATGTGCGAACTTGGCGCTCTATTTCATATTTCAGTGTTTTTTGGTTTGATTATATTATTGAATTAAATTTATTATTATATTATTTTTTTTTATGATTATTTATTAAATTATAATTTATGATTTCGTGTTTCAAGTTTTATCATACCCGGGATGTTTAATAGACTCTTGTTCGGACAGATTGCAGTGAGTTATTCCTAAAAATTACAGGCCTACAATAAAAAAAAAACATTTCCATGCAAAAAAAATACCGCTTTTGAGCACAGAAATATGGACATAATCAGACTGCTAGGGAGGTTAAAGTGGTAGTAAAGTTTTTTTTTTTTTTTAAAAATTGCAGACAGGCAGGATATTTATGACAGAAGAGACCCTATCGGTCTCTTTTGTCATAAATGCTTTCTTCTGTCTGTCAGTTGTCAAGTACACTGAGCCCTGCATGTGCAGCTCAGTGAACATTTACGCCCCCCAATCTGTGTTGCTGCGATGTGACTCCTGTGCACATGTGCGGGAGTGTCGTTATCATGGCCCAGCCACTTAAGCGGCCGAAGGCACGAAACCCGAAAGGTGGACCAGGTGAAGATGGAAGCGCAGCACACCGCTTGAGGGCTGTGTTTGACAGGTAAGTGTGCCATAATGTACTAATATGCTGTGCATTATGGTGTAACCCACCTCGGGGCCTTTAACCCCTTGACGCAAATATGCGGCCTCTCGGCATCTGGGCCTTGACGCTGAGCAGCCGCATATTTGTGTGCAATTAGAAAATACATATGTGCTGAGAGCATGCGCCCTGCGCGCTCCCAGCACGTGTCCGCAAATCCCAGAAAGGTCCCGATCTCCCCTTTCGATCTGGACCTTTTCTGATCATGTGACTGCTGTGACGGCGAATCACGGCAGTCACATGACCCTAAAACCCCGGCTTCTGATGGGAAGCACCAGCGCGAAGAGGGTAAAAAGAAGTAGTTAGTGGAGTTTACTACCGCTTTAATGCATTCTCTGCATTAAGGTACAAATATCTTTTGTTAGGAGTATCCTCCTCCCCTGTACTTACCTGAACCCAATCTCGAAACAGCTCTCGATCCAGCAATGTACACGAGAGCAGTGGCTCTCACCTCTCTCTCCCTCCTTACTGGGCAGATTGATAGCAACAGGAGCCATTGGTTCCTGTTGTTGTTAATCAAATCCTATGATGATGGGGCGGTACCCTGCTGTCTGTCTATGGACAGGCAGACAGCAGGGCTCGTGAGTGAACCCGATTGAGTACCCCTCTCCTTAGCAATCGGCTTGCTAGGGGGAGTACTCGGGGGAGGAGCCAGGACTGCCAGTGGGGGACCCGCAAAAAAAGATTCATTCATGGTGTATGAATAACCGTCCTGTACTCCAAGATATGGAATTTACAGGTAAGTCAAAATTCCTCTGTTTCTGGCTACCCTTCCAGGGACGTGGGGGGGGTCTAAGATTTTAATTTCTTATACCGCCACACCCAAGTTAAGCTCTGTGTCCCAGGGCTATTGATGTCGCCGTCCTCTTCCTCACATGACCGCGTTCGGGCCTGGTGATTTGCACCTCAGCCCCAAGCAATGCATGGTGGGATGGGGAAACGCAGAGCTCGGAGTTGAGCTTTAAAACTGAATAATAATTTTGTTCCTTTATATACTAACTGCTACTTTTTAGGATTTAGTATCTCCTAGCAGAAAACAAGGACAGCAATAGGCCAATATGGTAGCATTTGTGATGCATCTGGAGAAGGGCATGCTGGGAAATGTAGTGCGGGAGGGGATTCTTGGGCCTATCTTTCAACTAAATCATTCAGCATTATGGCCTGTTGGTTGTTTATGGTAAAATATTGGGGAAACGCAAACGATTGTGAAGTATAGAAGACTGAGTGAAGTGCAGTATTTCTGCAGTAAAGTACTCCTGTATCTACTGGTGACACCTTCTCCAGGGTGGATGTCCTGTGTAATGTATATTCCTTTCATTTGCCTCTAGTTATTATCCACAATGAAGGAGCTTCAGCAATGCCGGGTTCAGCAGAGAAACATCGCTGCCACAGTGGACAAGCTAAACCTATGTCTGCCTGGTAAGTGCCGGGGAAAGGGACCATTTAACACGTTTGTCAAGGCAATTTTTCTTTTTAACCACTTCAAGTCCGGACACTTTCACCCCCTTCCTGTCCAGGCCAATTTTCAGCTTTCAGCGCGATCACACTTTGAATGACAGTTGCGCGGTCATGCAACACTGTACCCATATGAATTTTGTTTAGCATTTTTTGGAGACAGATAAAACTTTATTTTGGTGGTATTCATTCACCACTGGGATTTTTATTTTTTTCTATATAAATGAAAAAGTCCAAACATTTTGAAAAAAAAAAAAAACGTTTTTCTTATAAAATTTTGCAAATCTTTCTTCATAAATCTTGGCCAAAATTTATTCGGCTATCTTTTTAGTGAAAAAAAAAAAAATAACCCAAATTAGTTTATAACCAAACATAATTTTTCAAATTTTTTTTGTTTTACATTTTTATTTCATTTTTGTATATTATATTATTATTATTTTTTTTAACATAGTGTCACCATAGTGACACTGTACTACTTGTGGGAAGTGATTTTTTTTTTTTTTTTTTTTTTTTTTTACATTGATTGCTTTTACACCCATAAAGGCTGTAAAAGCAATCATTTCTCCTTCTCTCTGGCTGCATTCTTGCAGCCATTGAGGAATTCTGTGTGAGCTTTGATTGGCCACAGCTTGTCACATGGTACAAGGCTGTTGTGAATAGCCCTGTACCATGTGACCTCTGTGATCATTCACAGATTTCACACATAGTAAGCAATGATGTCAGGAAGTGACATCTTGTTTACTATTATTATACAGTATTTATATAGCGCCAAAGGGTATGCTCAGCGCTGTACAGTAGCAAGGGGGACAGAACATGAGACTAGACAGTAACAAAACCGTACACGAGGGGTTCGAGGGCCCTACTCTTTCGAGCTTACTACTATTCATGTGATCACTGATTGGCCAAACAGTGACCACATGAATCAGGACCTCACACAGAGGTCTCCTACAGTGATCGGTGTCCGGAGGACACAGCGGGCACCAGATTGCGGTACCGCGCGCGCGCTCCCAGGGAGCGCGCACAGGCAGTGAATGCGGGGCTGTTTATAAATGGCAACCCGCTTTGGCACTGCTCCAGTCTGACCGTTTATGTATATGCGCTGGACAGGAAGTGGTTAATACCATGTCATACTTGCCTGCTTTGTGTAATGGTTTTGCATAGAGCAGCCCCCGATCTTCCTCTTCTCAGGTCCCCCGCTGGCACTCCTGGCCCCTCCCCTCTGCTGAGTGCCCCCACAGTAAACTGTTTGCTCTGGGGGCACTCGATGCTGAGGTGCCTCTGTGAGACACACAGCGCGTTTTAGCCTCTTCCATTCCCCTCACTTCCTCCTCACTGGCTGTGATTGGCTCCTGCTGCTGTGTCTGAGCCAATGAGGGCTCTGGTAAGTTTGGCGAACTAGCAGCACACTGAAGGTTTTTTACCTTCATGCATAGAATGAATGATGGTAAAAACCTTCAGCATTTGGAACCAGTTTAACTGGTTCCCATCTAGCCTGCTGTACAGTGACGGCTGGGCGGGACCTCTCTCCTTCTGGGAGGACATCATCCCATTCTTGCCACGCATACACGCCCCAGGGGGCCGGCAGCATGAGGATCCGTGGTGAGCTGTGTCCCTCAGACGCAGCGCATCACCGATCAAGGTAAAGAGGCAATGACGTTGGTTCTTTACCAACTGAGCATGTCCAATCACAGCTGATCACTTGTAAACAAACGCTGGTCATTGGCATTTCCTTTCCTCAGCACTGTCACTGTCTGAGGAAAGGTAAGCTGATAACCGGCTTTCCTGTGACGGGACATTTACACTGATAATCAGTGCAGCATATCAGTGCCCATCAATGCAGCCTAATCAATGCACAGCAGTGAAGAAGAAAAGTCACTTATCTGCAAAATTGTATAACAGAAATGAAAAAAAAAAAAAAGGTGTTTTTCTTTTTGGGGGGGGGGGGGGGGGGGGAGGGTTGGGAGTTGGGGCTTTTTTGTTCTTTGCTTTTCATTTGTTTAGCAAAAAATAAAAATCCCAGTGATGATTAAATAACACCAAAAGAAAGTTCTCTCTGTGGGAAAAAAAAAAAAAAAAAAATGTCATATTGGTACAGTGTTGCATGACTGCACAGTTGCCATTCGAAGTGTGACAGCAATGAAAGCTGAAAATTGGTCCTGGCAGAAAGGGGTGAAAGTGCCCGGCATTGAAATGGTTAAAGAGCGAGCACTTTATTATCATCAACCCTCCTCCCTCTGACAGGCCGTATGAGGAGACTTCTCCCCGTACTATCTGTCAGATTTGAAAACAGCGCAGCCGTTTGGGGCTCCACCCACACAGCCGTGTCATTCATTCACGGACTTCTGTGTATGAATGATCTGCAAGTCCCGACAGCCTTAGCGGCTGTGGGCTTGTAGTTTTCAATGAACTACCACGGCACTGTGGTAGTTCAGTGAAGCTTCCTGTCAGTATATCTGCTTGACCATACATCCCGTACATCCTGTACGGTAAGCAGATATTCTGACAGGTCTGCAGGAGACCTGCATGGAACCAGCAATCTACTAATCGCTGGTGAAATGCTTTCCAGGCTCCTTTTGGACAAAAATAATAAATGTACATTTTTTACTTGCAAAAAAATGTGCATTTATTATTTTTGTCCAAAAGGTGAACTTATCCTTTATGACAAGGGGACTGATCGCTGACTCTACTGACGTTCGAGGTACATTGTTTCTTCTAACCTGCATTGGCACCATGATCAGCAATGTCATTTGTGGGCAGAGTATTCTCCTGCCTCACTGTTGTAGTTCTGTGGATGGGTCCTTCATCTGCTTCAGCAGCAGGTACCTACAGAACTCCCACTCAGTCCGTAGGGCTTGAAGTCAGATCATTTTATTTATTGTTTATTGCAGGTACCTATTTAGCGCCATCAATTTACGTAGTGCATTTTTTTTATATATAAAATATATATATATATTATTATACAGAATTTATATAGTGCCAACAGTTTGCTCAGTGCTTTACAATATAATGGGAGACAATACAGCAACAATACAGTTCAATACAAGAGGGATAGGAGGGCCTGATCCTGGGAGCTTACAATCTAGGAATATATATATATATATATATATATATATATATATATATATATATATATATAGTACATTCATCCCTAACCCTCCCCCCCTCAAGGAGCCTACAATCTAAGGTCCCGAACGTACATACACATACTAGGGACAATTAAGCTACCAGCATGTCTTTGGAGTGTGGGAGGAAACCGAAGTACCTGTAGGAAACCCACACAGACACAGGGAGAGCAGGCAAACTCCAGGCAGGTGGTGCCATGGTTGGGATTCAATCTGATGACCCAATTCTGCCAGGCGGAAGTGCTAACCATTTAGCCACTGTTCTGCCTTCTTCATGAATGTGCATTCCTACAGTTATAAATTGGGGGGTTGTTTATACGAGTCCTCGGCTGGGATTTGGGTGCTCAGGTCACCCCCCCTTAATCTCTCAGTCTTACCCCTTATGCCTTGTATCTCTGTCATCCTCCCCATCACCATTTTTTGTGCCATGTGTGTATCTTTCCAGGTCTTCCTGTGTTCCCCGCACTGGGAACCCTTGTGAGAACCTGACTTTGGGAGTTGTGTCCCACTTAGATTTACACGCCCTTCTTCTATATTCTCAGTTCCTGTATAACCCTCAAGGTATCCCTCCACATTCTAGACTGTCCCCCCTGACCTACAAGGTTGGCCAGGATCAGTTTCTGCTGCTCAATTCCCATAGCAAGGACCTGACCCTCTGTGTCCTTCAAAGGCACCTGCTATTTCACGAGCACTAGAAAGTATAACATTTCCATCAAATTGGGGATCTGCAAGTCTGATGTTTGCTTCCAATGCACCTTTAACAAAGGAAAATACCATTTGTCTACACAAAGCCCTTCTCTCCGAACATTGGAGATATATGTTGCAGCAACTGTTCAGGTTACCCTGTTAGTCTTTGTTTGTCTTGACTCTTTTCACTTTTGCTGGTCAGCTTGGTCTGTAAGTAGATTCTGGGAGAGAATGCAGATGGAGTGTGGGCAGCACAGAGGCTAAATGGTTAGCACTTCCGCCTGGCAGTACTAGGGTCGTGGGTTCGAATCCCAACCACGGCACCACCTGCCTGGAGTTTGCATGTTCTCCCTGTGCCTGCGTGGGTTTCCTTCGGGTACTCCAGTTTCTGCCGACCCTCCAAAGACATGCTGGTAGGTAAATTGGCTCCTGTCTAAATTGTCCCTAGTACATGTATGTATGAATGTGAGTTAGGGACCTGAGATTGTACACCCCTTGAGGGTTAGGGACTAATGTGAATGTACAATATATATATAAAGTGCTGTGTAAATTGATGGCGCTATATAAGTACCTGAAATAAATAATAAATGGAGTAACACAAGTTCACACATTTTTCCTTTCTTGTTATATTGTTCTCCCTCTAGTGGTTAGAAGCAGTTCTGCACCTTTCCTTAACCACTTGTCCTCCAGATTTTACCCCCTTCCTGACTCGGCCATTTTTTGCTATTTGGCACTGCGCTAATTTAGCTGACAATTGTGCAGTCATGCAACACACTACCCATATGAAATTTCTATCATTTTTCACACAAATAGAGCTCTCTTTTTGGTGGTATTTCATCACCACTGGGTTTGTGACAATGCTGACCAATTAAAATCCCTTTAGTCTGTAATGTCATCACTGCAAGGATATGAGAAAGCTGCGGCGATTACAGATCCTCGCACCTGTGAAGTGGCTTTTCATTGTCTGACAGTGGGGATTAGGGAGGGTGTCCAGTGGATGGCTGAAACCATGGGAGAAGCAGGAGGAGCCCAAGCTGCAGACACTGATGTTCACAGAGGGATTGGGAGCCGGAGGTGGTGTAACCCATCATGCAGGGAGGTTTTTTTCCCGCAGTGCTCCTGGGAAAGCACATGCGATTTGGACAGGAACCGCGTTCCTGTTCAAATCCCATGCAGTTCTTTTTGTAGTGTGATTTGAGCCCATTCATTTTGTATGGACTCAAATCGCACTGTAAAGGTATCGGTACTTGGTAATGGTTCAGTGCATCCCTACTTTCTTCTATAAAACATATCAAATAACAAAAAATTTAAAAATCTAATTTCTTCATTAATTTAGTCCAAAACGTATTCTGCTACATGTCTTTTGTAAGAAAAAAAAAAATCCCAATCCGTGTATATTATTTGGTTTGCGTAAAAGTTATAGCATCTACAAACTATGGTTTATATATACTGGATTTTTTTTCTTTGATACTAGTAATGATCAGCGACTGATAGTGGGACTGTGATAGTGCGGCGAGCAATTATTATTATTAGTATACAGTATTTATAAAGCACCAATAGTTCGCTCTCAGCGCTGTACATTACAAAGGGGGACAGAACATGTGACAGAACAATACCAATACAATGCAAAACATGAGGGGATTGAGGGCCCTGATCTTTGGAGCTTACAATCTAGGAGGGAGGGGATGGTGGCACAGGAGGAGATAGCTGTGGGGGGATGGAGTGGTAGGAAGAGTGGAGGAGATTGGCAAGTTAGCAGGGGGCGGGGTAGGCTTCCCTGAAGAGATGGGTTTTCAGGGTGCGCCTAAAGGAGAGGAGAGTAGGTGATAATCTGATGGGTTGGGGCAGGGAGTTCCAGAGGATGGATGACACCCTGGAGAAGTCCTGGAGGCGGGCATGGGAGGAGGAGACCAGGGAACTAGAGAGAAGAAGGTCTTGTGAGGAGTGGAGTGTGTGTGCTGGGCGGTACTTTGATATTAGGTCAGTGATGTAGTTCGGGGCAGTATGGTGGACAGCTTTGTACGTCAGTGTTAGGATTTTGAATTTGATCCGTTGCGCAATCGGAAGCCAGTGGAGAGATTGGCAGAGAGGGGTGGCGGAAAACGGAGCGGTTGGAAAGGTGAATGAGTCTGGCAGCCATATTCAGGATGGACTGAAGCGGGGATAGCCTGTGGCGAGGCAGGCCAGTGAGGAGGGAGTTGCAGTAGTCGAGTCTTGATATGATGAGGGAGTGGATGAGCTGTTTAGTGGTTTCTGGGGTTAGGAACGTGCAGATTTTTTTGGCGATGTTGCGGAGGTGGAGTCTGCACGAGTTTGTTAAAGATTGGACTTGGGGCAATCTAACACTAGCTGAGACTGACATCAATAGTGATGCTTTTATACACTGTCACTGTGCTAATGGCACTGCCACATTTTTAAATTCCTTTTTGCAACCATGGGAAAAACATATATACTGTTTACAGGCAGGATTACCCATAACCCCCATCCCCTGCTCCTGTAGTTGGATCACTGATTCTCACAATGGTCAGAAAACGAAGGGAGGGTCAAGGTGAAATCAGCCTCTTGCAATTAAAAAGAGATGAAAAGTCAACCAACTACAGCTGAAGGAATCTCTAGCAACCTCTTGAAGAACCCTAGAGTTCCACTGAACCCTGGCTGAGAATACCTGCTTTGGTTCCTGCCCTCAGAGTCTACAGTCTCTGGTCCCTATCTCACACACTTACTAGAGCCAATTTATATGGGAGTCCGTTAATTTGCCAGCATGTCTTTCGGCTGTAGAAAGAAGCAGGAGAACATTCAGTAAGTGTCCTGACCCAGATTCGAAGTAAAAACTCCAGTTTTGAAAGGCAGAAGTGCTAACTACTGGGGGTACTGTGATTGTTTTATTACATCAGTATGCAAAGACAATGAATTGTGGAAACACAGAAGAATTTCTTTTGTGGTCCATTTATGAATCACTCAGGTTTACTGTGGCTAGAGAAAGTCTCTGTTGACTTTTCATGCGTATGTTAATTTCCCCCATAGTGCATGTACTGCTCGATGTTACCGGATTTGTAGACGGCAGTTTTGTTGATCAGGTGTTGAGAATTTTGTGTTTTTATATACAAATGTTTGTGCTCTTTTGTAATGTTTTATATCTCTTTATTTTCAGTTTTGGAAATGTACAGCAAATTACAAGTGCAGATGAAAACTAAAAGGTGAGAGCAGCACAGGTTGTTTTTTACTTTTTTTTTTTTCTGGTGTCTTCTTATTTTGTATTGGGTCATCCTACGTTTGACCTTGTAGACTTTGGCATCCTGAGCCTTAAAGCGGAGTTCCACTCACACTGTAAAAAAATAAAAGGTGGAGACTACAGAATTCATTCCAATACATTTACTCAGGAGTCCACTGTTGTCATCATATGGAAACTGACCCCAAGAAATGTCATGCGTCCATTGCTGGAGTGCATGTTGACAGGCAGTGGCTGCTGGAGAAGCAGCAAAAGATGGATATGGGTGAAATCAAATATTTTAATATAAAAAAAAAATGGCAGTTGTTGGATGCACAGTGCTTTGAAGTGTTCACCTTTTCAGAAAAAATGAAAAGTTGCACCAACACCCTGTTGATTAAGGCTATTGACCCCCCAGGTATTGACCTACCACAACCTTTTCCACATTAGGTGTGCCAGTAGTCCGTAGCAGGCTATAGGTTTTTAGATTTTTTTGCTGCACATCTTATCTCATATCAGCTTCAAATCCATCACTTTCGCACCTCAGATCACCCCAATTCCTGCACTTTTTACACCTCTGATCACCCTGATTCCTGCACCTTCACACCTCAGGTCATCCCCAATTCCTCACCTTCAGACTTGAGATCATCGCAATTCCTGCACTATTAGTCCTTAGATCACTGCAATTCCTGCATCCTCATACTTCAGGTTACCGCAATTCCTGCACTTTCACACCTCAGATCACCCCAATTTCTGCACTTTCACACCTCAGATCACCCCAATTCCTGCACATCTTCACACCTCAGGTCACCCCAATTCCTGCATCTTCACACCTCAGGTCACCCCTATTCCTGCACCTTCACACCTCAGGTCACCCCTATTCCTGCACCTTCACACCTCAGGTCACCCCTATTCCTGCACCTTTCCACCTCAAATCTGCCCCAATTCCTGCACTTTCACACCTCAGATCTGCCCCAATTCCTGCATCTTCACACCTCAGGTCACCCCTATTCCTGCACCTTCACATCTCAGATCAGCCCAATTACTGCACCATCACACCCCAGAACACCGTAATTCCTGCACCATCAGACCTCAGATCACCCCCAATTCCTTCACCTTCATACCTCAAGTCAGCCTCAGTTCATCTCTTTGAGACCTCAGATCAACCCAGTTCCTGCACTATTCTTTCATTACTGTGATTCCGGCACCATCAGACCTCAGATAAGCCCCAATTCTTGCACCTTCATGCCGCAGGTCATCTCCAGTTCCTGACCCTTCATTCCTCAGGTCATCCCAGTTCCTGACCCTTCATTCCTCAGGTCATCACCAGTTCCTGACCCTTCATTCCTCAGGTCATCCCCAGTTCCTGACCCTTCACTCCTCAGGTCATCCCCAGTTCCTGACACTGCACTCCTCAGATCACCATCATTTCTGCATCATCAGACCTCAGATAGGCCCTGTTCCTCACCTTCACACCTGATCGGCCTCAATTCCTGTTCCATCAGAAACGCAGTGGTTTTACCTGTCATGTCAGGGAGGTGGGTGGGCTGTGCCTAGGAGGGCAGGCCAGGCTTTGTAACTGGCAGCCCAATAAGCTTTCAATTATAGGTTATGATAGTGGCTCTTCTGGTTGATTCTGAAAAAGACATTGTGTGCCCATCTAGACACTTGGGCCATAAGTTGATGAGCCTCACCATAGAGACATCGTTCCCAGTTTGGAGCACAACTTGTGATTTTTGCCATAACCCATGGAGGTTAGGACCTGGGCCAGTTAAAGGCCCTCTATTGCAAAGGTTTGCCAACACAACTCTTGCCTAGAGGGCCAAATGTCTTCATCTGCATGGCACAACATAAAGGATAAAACTATTGAGTGTGCCCACTGATAATGGTGGGCAAATATCAGCAGGTAGGGATTGGGTAGATATGAGCTCTCCTGTAGATTAGGGGATATTTCTATGGGCAGTGACGAGTGCGTATCGTTATCGCCTCCCTTTGCGCACACCGGAGCATCAGGCCCGGTTCCTTTTGTGTCGAAATCTCCCATCCAGCAAAATCCTTCAACAAACACAGGCCCTGCCAAAGCAAACAATAAAGTTCACACAGTGGAACCCCTGAATGGAGTTTGCGGTTTAGAAGTCAGTGTTTAAAACCTGTGTAATCAGATCGCACCTAATCTGCCCTGTCAGGCCGCTCGCTGCGATATTTACATACCAAATGGTTTTAGGCTACTGTAAAGGGCGCACTGTGCCAACAGCCTTTCATTCCCTGCTTGGACGGCTTCTTTCAGCACCCCCTGACTTATTTACACGTGGCTGGTGCTGCTTGCGGCTCGCACAATCATCTGAAACCTTCTGGTTTTTCTAGCCCGGGGCGGCTGTAAGCCGTGACCGCTGCGTGATCTTTAAATAAACTCGTTTCCTATTGAAGGACAAGTCTCGTGCAAACGCAGTCTAAATGTTATTCCTGACCCTTTCTAAAGAGAGAGAACTCCTTCCAACCACATCATCCAAAACAAATAATTAAAGTATTTCAGGAGGAGGTAAAAAAAAAAGTGAAATCGAAGTCAAGTCTGATTTTTGAAAGATTAACCCTTTGCTTGTCTTGGCATGTAATCACGGCCTGAACTTCAAAAAGTGCAGCTTAGGAAACATAGTGTCGTCTGCATTCTAATCAACACAAAGACTAATCATGGCAAATTAAAGGGAAGCTACGTTATAGACAAACTCCAGAGTATAAGTGAGCCGCGCCCAGCTCTCCCTAGCACCCATTTCATTCCCCCCTCCCCCAGCTTTCCCTAGCACCCATTTCATTCCCCCCTCCCCCAGCTTTCCCTAGCACCCATTTCATTCCCCCCTCCCCCAGCTTTCCCTAGCACCCATTTCATTCCCCCCTCCCCCAGCTTTCCCTAGCACCCATTTCATTCCCCCCTCTCCCAGCTTTCCCTAGCACCCATGCCTCCCCCCCCCAGCTTTCCTTAGCACTCATTCTCCCCCCCAGCTCTCTCCCTAGCACCCATGCCCCCCCCCCCCCAGCTCTCCTTAGCACTTCATCCCCCACCAGAGCTCTCCCTAGCACCAGTTCCCATCCCCCCACAGACCATCTCCAGAATATAACTGAACCCCCAAGCTCTCCCTAGCACTCATATCACCCACACACACACCCTAGCTCTCCCTAGACCCCATTTCTCCCCCAGATCTCCCTAACACCCATCCCCCAGAATATAAGTGAGCCCCGCCCAGCTTTCCCTTGCACCCATTCCATTCCCCCCTCCCCCAGCTTTCCCTTGCACCCATTCCCCCATCTCCCTAGAACCCATCCCCCCTCCCCCTTGCTCTCCATAGCACCCATTCCCCCAGCTCTCCCTAGCACCCATGCCCCCCCCCAGCTCTCCTTAGCACTTATTCCCCCCCCCCCCCCGAGGTTTCCCTAGCACCCATTCCTATCCCCGCACAGATCATCTCCAGAGTATAAGTGAACCCCCAAGCTCTCCCTTGCACTCTTATCACCCCCCAGCTCTCCCAAGCACCCATTTCTCCCCCAGCTCTCACTAACACCCAATCCCCCCCCCCAGCTTTCTCTAGCACCCATTCCACGCCTTTCCCCAGATTTCTCTAGCACCCATTTCTTCTTCAGCTCTCCCTAGCACCCCTCCCCCAACCCCCCAACTCTCCCTTGTACCCCTCCCTCCCGGCTCTCCCTAGCACCCAGGCTGGACAGAAAACAATTGGTGTCTAGCAGAAAGCGATGGGAAGACATACATCTGCCAGCTGTCTGCAGTGCCATCACATACCAATGTGACTCCTCCAATGGCCTGAAGCACACACCACATCTATGGGTAACCTCCCCAAGGCCTTGTACACGTCACCTTAGCTTGTAGAAGAGCAGTGTGCACAGCAGGCTTTTACAAAGCTTCTAGCTGTCACTTTAAACAAACTGTGAACAAACTTTGTCAGTCTGTCAACACATTTTAAGCATTGCTGAATCTTGTAGGAAGCCTGCTAGCAGCTATTTTAATGTGACAGCATTCCCATATAGGTCTGTGTTGTCACTCCCAAAAAAGGGCTGAAGGCTGTTTAAAGGATAACTTCACTTTAAAAATAAATAAATGCACCTTTACTATTTTTTTTTTTTTGAGCCTGGAAAGAATGGCACCTGCATTCAGCAAACCTGTCAGTGTATCTGTGTGCCTGTAATAAAAAAAAAAAGGGCAGGAAATAAGTTAAAAATCTTTCTCGCACTCGCCTGATACGAAACCGTCCAAGAATGGCTTAAAAGACATTGTTCCGTTTAATCCTGGAAAGGAAGTAGCATTTAATTTATATATCCATCTGAGCTCACATTGGAGCAAAGTTTTTTTTCCAATCACCTCCTTGTGAGCTCGGATGGATCCTATCCAGGACAAGGAAATTAACTTTGGGAAATGTATTCCCATGAATGACCACTATGTGACGTCCTGAGGGTCCCTGTTGTTGGACTTCATGCTGGAGATATGGCGATACATTCGACGCCAGAGCTCTAATTTCGTTTTGCCTACATAAAAGCAATTGCAATCGCATGTGAGCAGATCTACTACCCCATTAGTTTTGCAATTGCCATAATGTTTGGGAATAAATTTCTCTCCATTTGGTAATGTAATATATTTTTTAGTGTTGATACAGTTGCAAGAAAAAGTATGTGAACCCCTTGGGATTACGTGGAGTTTTGCATGAATTGGGCATAAAATGTGCTCTGAACGTCATCTAAGTCACAATAGAAGAACACAGTCTGCTGAACATAATACTACACAAACATTAGATGTTGCCATGGTTTAATTGCACATAACATGTAAACATTCACAGTGCAGGGAGGAAAAAGTATGTGAACCTTTGACTTAATAACTGGTTGACCTTCCTTTGGCAGCAATAACCTCAACCAAACGTTTCCTGTAGTTGCAGATCAGACCTGCACAACGATCTGGTGTAATTTTGGACCACTCCTCTTCACAAAACT